ATCAGTGCACTCCATAGTAATGATAGGTCACTTCGTGAATAAGGCGCTAGCTTAGTTGGACTGCAGAACCTGCTGATAAAAAACATATAAATATCATATACACTAAATATGACTTCACTGTTGTTTTGAAAGAAGCTCTCGAAGTGTTCTTAAAAGCCAGAATCACGATGCACAGGAATGTCTCAACTCTTTGGACCTAAATCTTGAGTTTTACTACATATCGATAATTCCCGATTAAGATGACAAGATGACATGAATTATGACATTTTGTTAAGTGTGATGAAGCTCCAGCTCTTTGGCTATAAAAGTCTTAGTTTATTAAAGTAAAGGACAGGCAAAATTTAAAGACTTCATTCACGAGGACATAGAGGCAGCAGTATGAAGCAGTGGAGATTCCACTGATTCTTCTGAATATTATGACATTCAACACAAATGCAAACACAATAATAAAAAAAAAATGATGACCTTAAGTCACCTGATTCTAACTTTAATGTGAGTTTTTTTTTTTTAGTCGATGAACAAGGGCAGAAACGACAAGCATAACTGATCACGATGCATGCGACTAATCTGGGATTACCCTAAAGATGTTATTGTCTAGTATGTAAAGTGTGCAAAATTAAAAAGTTGTTAGCAGCAGCTTTATTTGGACTCCCCTCTTTCTTTTTAAAAGAATGTCCTACAGATAAACACATTTTCAATTTAAATTGTAGTCACACGCCTTTCCACATTCTGCTGATCCTCTCTTATCCTCAGCCCTCCACAGCTGTGCTTATGTTATTCACTTTTAAATGAACATTTTTCTGAAACAGGCTGGTGAGCTCCAAAAAATGTATTGCGGGTAGAATTAGTTACACTTGCTTATTGTTTTTTACTTGTAAACAAACCCGCTGTCCTCCACACGGGATAATGAGCCACATATTGACCATTGCACTCTTTAAGTCATGCAGAAATTCCACTGCACTGATCTCTGTGAAATTAACTGTGATAACAAACACTAATAAAACATTCTGCTGCCCTTGTGGTTTGGCTTTTTGTACATTCACGTCATTATTTTCACTTCCCACTGCTTTGATTGTGGCCAGTTGAACTACAATGGAATTCATTGGTTTAAAAAAGTGCAGTGACTCCCTAACTGTGCCAAAAGGGACATTTGCAAAGTTAACCATTATATATCTGAAAGGAAATCACTGCAGTATGCATAAGGAAATCACAACCCAAATATATAGTTCTTGATTCAAAGTGTTTGTGTGCTAAGAGGAGCCTCATACACTTGCACAGGTTTTTTTTTTTATTCATTCGGTGTCACCGAATGCATTTGCTTATTCAACCGTGGCAAATAGACCCATTTTAAAATACCCATAAATCCATCAAATTTAAAATGTTTTGTCAACAAGAAAAAAAGAAATCTTATCACCTCAGCGCCAAATGCCTTCAATTGGGCTAGACCTGAAAAGGACAGCACATTTGTTAATGCTTATATCAATATTCCTCGCAATCTTTGTAAGGCAGTGAGTGTGAATTGAGAAGTGGCTGATTGGTTTTCATTCTCAGCAGTGGCTTTGAAGAGGCAATTTAATTTCTTCGCCTCTCCTGTCCTAGGAGACACTCTCTCTCCCTCTTTCTCTCACTCTCTTCCTCTCTCGAACTCTTTCGTATTTTCTTTCCTCTTCAAAAAGTGTCAACATGACTTTGTAAGCATTAAGAATATTCTCTGCTGTGACAGATATCACCTGACCCCAATTTACAAGAGCCACCAAACAGACACACTATCTTCAACACCATATGAATATTTTATCCTCTGGAAAGGTCCTAAATTCAGCAACTGAGAGAATAAGAAATTGAATGAACATCCCTGTCTTAAATAAGACACAGACACTCTGTTTGGATGCAAAAATAGGCGACGGTGGTCACGTAATCTGTCAAGTGACGTTAAGGTGCAGATCAAATGGGCATCAGAACAAAAGCATTAAATGTAATTAAATGAATGTAAGCCTTTTTCGGATGGAAACCATTCTTTCTTATCTCATTGCTCCTTTCTCTTCTCCTCAGGAGTCGCCAACCCCTCAGCATATCATCTTAAAAGTGCAGTGTCATTATCACAGCAATATTCAGCATTTGCCCTCTTTTAGGCTACGGGGAGGCAGAGAGAAATGTCACAACATTCCTTCCTTTCTTCCTCTTCCGTTTCATGATGTTTGCTGCCAAGTGTCATGTGTAATGTTTATTCAGATCTGTTTGTAACCAGTAATGGGAATATCAGTGTTAAAATAAATAGCGTTACTAACAGTGTTATTTTTTCAGTAACTGGTAATCCAACTAATTATTTGTTACCGTTACTGCCTGCAACATTTACTATTTTCTTTGTAATACGAAGTGAAAATTTTTGAGTGCCACTGTTATTCATCATAAATATTTGGTGGGATGAAGTACTACTTTATGCAATGAAACCCTTTATTTTGAATTTGGCTTTGGGGTTTAACCAGTTCTTAAGTCAGTTGATATTATAATTAAAAACATATTGTCCTATAATGGATTTTGACTTAAAAAGAACATTACCAAAAAATTCATAAAACAGGAAAAATATTTATAAAGAGATACAAATAACTACAACCTCAAGTCCTGAATAAGTCCTGAGTAAATTATGACAGTAAAAAAAATCACAAAAAATATTTTTTCTGCATGTTTCTCATCAATTAAAGCGTTTTTAAAATTTTTTTTTTTTAATTTCTGGCAAAATCATAATTTTGCATGTCATGTTGGTGAAACGTTAAGAAATGTCCATGAAAATATTTGAAAAAAAAAATTCAAAACTGTATCTTTTCTATATAATTCTCATCAAATTAGAGCATTTAAAAAAATTTGAGATTTTTTTATCGTTCATTTTTTTTGGTGATTTTTGAAATATTCATATAAAATATTTTTGGAGTTTTAAACACAAAATATTCACTTGGCAGGATGTTTAAAGACATAATCTTGCATTTTTAGGCATTTTTGGGGGTTTTTTTTTTTTTTGGATTTTTCACGATGGTAAGGCATGTTTTTGGTGATTTTTGAAATATTCATATAAAATATTTTTGGAGTTTTAAACACAAAATATTCACTTGGCAGGATGTTTAAAGACATAATCTTGCATTTTAAGGCATTTTGGGGACATTTTATTTTTAAGGATTTTTTCACAAAAATATTTTTTTTCTCAATTTTAACCACAAAAATGGCTTAGTATTTTAAGGTAAATTAGTGTATTT